GGACTGCTGAAATAAAGATTCTATCAACAAGTATGTCTTTATCGTAGAGGTTAATGTCCTTAACTACTTTTCGTCAATAGCACAATCACTTTTGCTACTACTCCCATCTACAGGAAATTCCTCATGTCAATACAACAAGTCTTCATTCATAAGTAGAGCTGGAAGTCTTATTTATGACTGGGAAGCCTAAAACAGATGTGGTATGTTACCTCACATGTTGGTCAGTTGAAAGGGACTCTTTTTTCACTCTTCAGGTGGAAGTGGAGCGGATTTGTGAATACCCTTTAGACATTATTTTGGAAGAAGTAGATCAAAAAGCGATGGTGGTCTTCGGAGAGAAAGATGGTGTTAAACTAAGGTACCATTTTCTACTCTTCGTCAGTAAGGTTGCGTTCATACTTTGGATGGGAAACTGGGTGAATCGAAGGATTGACGTCTTGTGAGAATGCGTGTCAAAAGAGTGGATGGGTCAACGGCAACGCGCCTTCTCCCAAGAAGCTAATTCTGCACTTATGCCTTCGCAGTGTATGACCGCAGCTCGAGAGTACAAAGGTCATTAAGTAACAAAGTTCTTCGTGTTTTCCTTTTGAGCGAATCTTTTCGACACCACGTTTCGAGCCGTAAGTCCTTTCTTGGGTGTACTGAGCAACCAATCATATATTATTAAATTCAAAAACCTGTGTTTACGTATGAGATTCGAAGGGATGTTTTGAAAACCTCAGAAAAGGCTTGGGCCCAAAATGTTGTTTCACAGGATTTGGAGAGTTTCGTTTGAAAAAAGACTGTTCTATATGTTGAAGGAAGGCGTGCTTAATCGCCCTATTCAGCTGGTTGATACCGTATCGCCTTGACACGCCTCCTTCAAGATTCCGTTTTAGCTTCAGTAGTGATGTCATCCTTCGCTCCACGACACAAATCCTCTTAGGTATTACGTTCACTGGAATCAACGGATCCAAGGTGTCAGGCACGAGATTTTTCGTTGATGATACAGAGCACAATATTCTGAAATATTTGGAGGATGAGTCCAACTTTCCGGTAAATTCTTTCCTTCAGTAAACGAGTGCTTCATGGATTTGCCGCAAAACGCTGCGTTCATACTTTGCGTCAGCGTTTTGATTTCGAGCGTACACTAGCGAATGGCAGCGCTTCAGCGACTAAGAAAGTAGAAAATTGATCTAGCGTTCTGAGCGTTTAGCGGGTAGTTTTGAACTTTTCGCCGGCAGTCACTTATACGCTGGCGCACGCTCAAAGCGCTGCCGTATGCTCGTAACGTTCAAGATGCTGACGCAAAGTATGAACGCACTCCAGGACCGCTTCCATATTTCGCGGTTAGAGGGAATCTGCGATTCTGTAGAGCCGGCGATAAAAAACAAGCAAAATCGGACGACAAAGGGAATTGAATGAGAATCAGTAGTTTGCTTGTGAGCGAAGATTATCTCCTTTGACTCACTGTCGCTGATTCCTCGGGTGCGCGGGTTCCCTATTTCTCCAATCTAAGAACGTGGCCTAAAATAAGCTGACGGAGGTCCTGTTTTCAGGTCAGCATACGGTTCTCTCCTCCGTCGGTTTCCTACAAATGAGAAAATTATACTTTCTTCCATGTTTCATTCATTGTTTACGATTGCTGTGCAATTGAGCCCAGCTGCTCGGAGCTCCGGAATCGAGGTTAGTGAGAAACTCAATTCCTAACTAGCAATGATCGTGTCTCTGATGATTATATTTTTGAATTCCCAAAGGGGCTGTGGTGTACACAGAAAGTCAAATAAAATTCCCTGCAAACTCTTGTATTTTCAGGTGATGGAAACAACACAATTTCGGCTGTCTTGCTTGCAAAGCAGAACCGGTGCGTTTACCACTCACTTCGTTTAAAGTTTTTCTTACATTTGTTTTGGCGTTTATGTACCTCTGCACTTGCTCAGGGAACACTGCTGATATATTTTACTTACATAATAATCATTTAAGGAGTTAAATTTGTTGTGGTTACGTCGCCTTCGGCTGCGATTCCCATCGAATCTCTTCTTAACAAGCTTTATGAACTTTATGCTGATTACGCCCTGAAAAATCCGTTCTACGCAATTGATATGCCAATCAGGTAAGTCAATGTTCCTCCGAGAGAAAGTGCTTCGCAAAAATGTTCTCTTTCACATTCTATGATCATACAAGCACTCGTTTCACGTTTCAGATGTTCAAAATTTGAAGAAGGTCTGAAGTTACTTTTGGAACGTGTTGATAAGAATTCAACTTCCGTCACGATCTAATCCCTACTGTGATTATGGCAATGTTGGACATTGCTTGTGTATTATGTATTTATGGGTTTTTCGCATTATGTTCAGTGCGAACATTTGTATCTCAAGAGTTCTATAGATTTGCATAAAACTTATTCATATCTGCTCGATCTACATTGTCCGGTGAACGTTCCATGTTTACATGGTCAACTGTGCTGTATTTTCTTGCCGTAAGAAGGTGCGCCATCCATTCAGTCTTGGAATCCAGATGACGGTTGATACAAGTTTCGCATTTCTGACGAAAATTCCAGACCAATGTGGTTACCTCGTATTCGCCGATAAGGCCATTGTGAAGGTAGTTTTCATATTTTTGTCTCTCTCATCATCTGATAGCGAGATTCTTGTGAAGCTCATGGTGATCAGGTGTTCAGTATGTGTTCAGTTATTTCCCATTTTGTTGTACAGGTAGCAGACCCTACCAATAAGCACTATTTCGGCGGTTTCTGTGGTAGACCGGGTCAGACGTGTCCACAATAGCACAAACACATGACTATGGACTTCTTTACTTCATGGTTCCGTTTAGAAGGAGAAACCAATGATTGGAAAAAAGGAAAACGACCATTCAGAAATAAAACAAAAAAGAAACATCAACGATGGATAGTCCGTTTCAACTCTTTCTTCAGACGAAGTGCCTATGTAGTCCCCCGAAGCTAGAAATGAAGCCGTGTCAACATTTCCATGTTTGGTCTTCCTGATCGTGATTGAAATTAATAGTTGGGGAGGGTGTTGTGTCGCGGCCGTGCGCGAGCGGTCATTATAAAGCTCATCGTAGAAATATTGAAAAAGACAATGTTGCATACATAGAACGTTGCATATCGTTGGGTTGCTCACTTTTCTCTACTGGAAAGCGACCTTGTTTGTGCGGCACTCAATAGTTTGCACTTGTAATACGCTGTAAGTTAGTCACCTCCCCTTGGCTGGTTTTCTCGTGTTCGAAATATGATCGATTGGGTAATTTAGTGCGCTGTTGCACAGCCGGAGTCACTACAGTGTCTATTAACTTGTCCGAACTAGCACATATTGAAGAAACATTGAACACTGGGATGTTCAGTGCAAAAAAAGCTTATTAACCTGAAGGGCGCTGTTTGTCGACGGGGGGGGGCATTTTGTATTATCATTGCTTCCCTAGTTCCGGTTTACAAATCTCACTCTGGTAAAACTTGTGAACTCTTGTGAAGCTGAAGTAAGATCGTCTAGCCACTATCCTAAAACGTGTCAACTCGAGAAACGGCTGCCTAGATGGGTCGACACATCTATGGAAAGCAAAATGCCCCCCCCCCCCCGTCGACAAACTGCGCGCCACCTAAACCTATCATCTGTTCTACGGCTCCAGTCACATAGAAATCTGTCAGTTAAAGGCACATTCCGCGATAAAATAAGGCTATGACCTCTCAAATGTGTCGGACGATCCGGAAGGCGATTTTTGAGGCTGCGCTACTTTCAAAATGTGAAAAACGGCAAGAACTCCGCTAGAAGCTGACTAATTAGGCCCATGGACACCCCTTAGGCCCATGCCGACCCTCACCGGCTGCTAGCTACTAGCTAGTAGCCACTATGTTATCTTTCTCTATAACATTTCGGACTGCTTTTTCTGCTGCTTTTCTCCGCTAATCAGATACTTAGCACTTTTTTGTGCCTATTTGAGTTCCGTTTCCCGCAATTTGCGGTCGCGAACTGTGCCTTTAATGCAAGCTCCATCAATCTGCTACTTGATTCGGACTTCCTCTGCGTGCTCCGGCCTGCTTACGAGGCGATACCGTTAAGATGATTAGGCTCATTTTCCTCCAGCTTTTTACCGTTAAAGTAAATCAGCTAAAGTTGCAAGAGCCGACCTGGAACCGCTTGTCGAGTTGGGAATGCAGCAGTTCCTGACTGTTGGGTTGTAATGAACAACGTTCGTGACAGCACTTTCTTACCACTAGTCAGGAGTGGTGTCACTTAGATGACAGCATTAGCCGGCACACAGAAGGGTTTCAATGGAAGGGAGGGGGGTGTAGTTCATGACATTCGGTGCGTCGAGAATCTTGCCCACTTTCCCAAACTATTGCCCCTGGAGACCTCGCTAGCTCTGTTATGCGTCCATTACGACATCCCCTCGAAATCGTCTCATGGTCACTCTTTTGTTAGTACGTAGACCTTTGCGTAACGCCCTCTCCCCTTCAATGGTACCAAGAAGGATTCCATGTGTTAAGAGAACTCTGCCATTTTCTATCGCATTCTCGGGCATTTGCTTCTTACCTGATGTGCATTATTTACAGTCGGATGGAGACTTGAGCAATCGGGAAGGAACAGTGGCAATCGTTGAGAAAATTCTAAACGTGGCGAACACAAGTGCACTGCCGAGTACAAAGTTCTTTCTTCCAGATCACCATTTCTTATACGGATCATTCCTACACGATCATTGAAAGCGGTAGATATACTTTTGTTGTTAAACGAAGGATTCATGCTTAGCCAGCTGTACATACTTGCTTTTTGCCTCTTCATGGAACCTTTAATGATGCAATAACATAACATCTGCTGTCCGAGTGAATAACTGTGATTTCTGCTAGCATGTCAAGGCGGATTTGAACATTTCAATAAATTCTACGTAAGGATAATATTTCTGTGCTGGGAAATTTGTAGATACAGTGTTCTTCGCTGCGACTGCTAGGGCGTGTCGTGGGCTGCATTTGGGGCCGTGCCTAATTGTTTTCCACCACCAATTCTTGTCGCTTGTTTATTTCGGCAGTTGGTTGAGAACGCGTTGGCAATGCGCCAAATCCAGCTTCCCACTCCTGACAGGTCTACGGAGAACTAAAACTCAGTTCCTTCGATGGCGCCCACTTTCTGTTTTTCTCTGCGTTCTCTATTGCCTACATGGTGCTTTGTAACTGCTCTGACCTTTCACATTCCATAAATACTAGGTGGCTCATCCACCCCGGTGCCCCTCGAAAAATACTCATTCCTTGCGAGGGAGGACCCCCACTAAGTTTTAGTTGTCACGTAACCCCCTGTCACGCCCCGTCATCCACAGCGAAAGAGACTATAGACGGTACCCCAACTAGACGGGTTGCGAGCTTCATGGGATCATCTGGTTTGAATAATTTGATCTGTACTATAGCATGCGAATGTTAGTTGATGTCCTAGTGAGAACTTGTTAACCCTGGAAATTGGAAAATAGATGTCCTGACCGGTTTTTGATCTGTGCGTATACTAAAGGAGTATTGGCCGCAGCTGTAATTTTGTCTTCAGTAGATAAACGAACATATATTTCAAGAGGAAGGAGTGGGAAATTTGGCGTGTGGAAAAAAAATCGCAATGGTTCCTTTGCTTGGTGCCCATGGATTTGGCCTTCCCGCCCGTGCCGAGCTGAAATTGTGTCAATACCTTTGGGCTGTCCATTTTTCGCATCATGGTCTCTGCATTCTGAATCCTATTAAGACCGCTGCTGGTCTCTAAACCTGAAAAATTCTGACAACCCCTGGCCTCATAAGTGTTGTTTATTTGTCCCTGTTGTGGGGTGAAAAGGGCAAGTTGAAAGGATGATCTGGTTGCCCGTGTTGTCTGTGTCTCTTACTTTGTTGCGATCAATCGATGCTGGACGGGCGGACTCTATCGATACGTGCCCGTCGGACGGTTGCAGTGTTACCCACACGATGGCAGAGGTCGGCGGCTCCTACAAAGACTCCCTCACTCAGGTTAGTTATGTTTCACTTCGACTTTAGATCTTTTTGTGGGGCTCGAACGACAGGTCTCTTCAAGAAAAATTCCCTGTTTCAGGAACAGAAGGATGAACTGAGAGCAATCGCTGAGAAGATCGTTGCTGATGGAAAAGGAATTCTCGCTGCTGATGAGTCCACTGGTATGCTACCTGTGCACACTTTCACCTTCTAGGAGTCATTAGGGCTGTAGCCTATGCCCATTAGGGCTGGAGCTAGATATAAAGCATAAAGCGTGGAGGGGAAGGGACCTAGTACTTTGGAGGGTAATTACTGTTTTGCTCTCCATACCTCACATAATTACGTTTCTCTGCTGTGTTGAACTTTTTGAAGGGCTCTGTCCCCTGGGCATAAACATCCCAACGAAACAAAGTGATGGATGTAGTGTTTATCCAAAGAACATACACTATGACGAGACCTGCGGCCCACATCCGCAGCTGTTTTATAGCTATCCACTAAAAATGACTGAACTGCTGTGAAATTGTAGGCTTTTTTGAAAGTCGTTATGCGCTATGGCTAGTAGCCGGCCGGAATGCGACAGCGAGAGAAACGGCCGTGGCAGTGAATCGGCGAAAGGCAGCGGTGGCACGTATACCACTTTTTGTAATGAGTTCGCTGATATGAGACCCCTCACGGGAAAACAACTGCGCTTGCCGGCAACTGAGAGGTTTCGCTATCAAAAACGCCCTGAAAACACTTCCGTGTAATGATTTGAAACTTCCCTTGTTTTTGCTCCTAATGGTGGACTGTGCGATGAACCAGCGAACACTTAGTAGGGAGCGGAGCGGAAAATCAAAAATTGGCATGCTACTCGACTTGCCCGTGAAGAAAGAAAGGGGAGAAAAACATCACAAACGCTCTGAATAAGGTCCTGTTCGGCCAAGCGAGAGATAAAGATTTGATGCGGATAGCGGCGAAAGGTGAGAGAAAGCAGCGAGAGAGCATGCAAACAAGCAAGACAGCAGACAAGACATCTATCAACGTAGGCGGAGTCCCTTAAGTAACCTTGTGCTTTGCCGCCGCAACCTCCCCACTTTCTGACTGAAACTTATACATTTTTGTTCGTTTTAGTCCACGCTACCTCCACTTTGAACAGCTTAGATAATTACAAGTGATAGTGAGTTCTGTCTTTAACGTTCTTGCTGTTTCCTCCAGGCACCATTGGAAAACGACTCTCTGCCATCAACCTCGAAAACAATGAGACCAATAGGCAGAAATACAGGTAAACTGTTTAACAATGCTTGGTGTGCCTCCTACTTCGAAAGAATTTGTTTTAGACAGCTCCTCTTCACAACACCGAACATTGGTGAGCACATCTCTGGAGTAATCCTTTTCGAAGAGACATTCCATCAGGTTTGTCCTAATGTTTATGCTTCTCACAAGCTCCGCCCCTACATCAATAAGTTATTTTGTTTATCATATGCCCCTTTATATCAGTGGGTCCAGCTACCAGTTTTTCAGTTACCAGGTGGGACACTTTATGGTTGTTTTCGTCAGTGGATTGGCAGAACAACATGTGACGCTAAAACCATGGGAATGTTGATATTGTGTCCTTGTCCACAAGCGCTTCATTATCAGATGCCCTTAGAGCCCCTTGATGTGTCGAGAAATTGTTTTTATGGGTGGCCGTTCTTTGATGGTGTTGAAAGGTGACGTACTTTGAACTCGTCACGTGCGCCGATAGCGCCCAAGGTCAACTAACTAAAACAATTGTTTATTCTGCAGCGCGATGATCACAATCCGGCGTAGCTATCACCACGAGGAATGCATAACGTCTGGAGAAGGGACGTGTTAAACACGGAGATTGTACTTAATCTTCCTCCTGTTTTGTACTTGTGGATCCATTCGTAGTTTTAGCTTGGTGTAACGAAGCGGCCTGACGCTGCTATCATGACCCTTGTGGCAGTTTTCAGCGGGCACGTAGCTTTTCCTCGGGGAGGGGAGGGAGAGGGGGTGGATTACGTGACCATCATTACTGCCACTGCATTTCAATTTGAAGTGCCAAGTGCTGATTTTCGCCTCTCAGCACGATCTAGTATAGTAGAGAGTAAAGGGGTAAAACGGCCTTCGCACCAGCCGAACACCGTTCAAAGGCATAAGGCACGAAATTTGATTCATGCTCAAAAATAGTAGCAGGGTTGCTACATAACGGGGGAAAAGAAAAAGCTAAGTTAAACGGTCAAAACCTGCGAAAAAACCTTTCTTCAGCCCGGTATTGGGTAAGCATTTTTGGACGAGTTCCCGTTGGCATCGTGCCGAAACCGCCTTGGTGGATACGGCTGCGCCTATGTATCGATACATCAATATAGCAACGCTCCACATCGATTTTACATCATAAATCATCGATAAGAGTACTAATGTCGATGCGAGTGTGCGGCCATTTGTGGGTGTACTGTGGCCATGGGTGTGGGTGGACATGCTGCACCTTGGTTGGGCGCTAGAATTGTGCCTTTGGTAGGACGTGGCGTCACGCATCGCCTACTAAGGGGCGCCGAATTCCGTTCTGCTAGGCTTGCTGATCCTACACTCTCGGGAATTAATCGTGCCACTTGCCTTCAACATGAAGAGGAGAAGGCGTTAGAATCCCACAGTGGTTTTTTCGTTCGGTTGTCAAGATAAGAGTGCACTGATAAAGCGCATCTTACTTGAAAGTGCAGAAGTAGTGCATCACTGCATCTGCTATACGACAAAAATCGAACTCTGGGAAAATTTAAGTGTTGGATGCGAGTGATTGAACCTGTTCTTCATGCAAGAAGGAGTTTTTGCACTTGAACGGTTGTTTTTTCCCCACATTCGAGCTCATGGCACGAGCTTGTGGCATGTCGTGAGTATGGCAGGTCGACACAAAGTTATAGGGTGATACTTGTAGGGACTACGCCTTGATTTCCCTCCCATTTTATGGGGTGACCAAGACAAAGAGCATTCGCTGATTCGCTGCATCTGAAGAATGCTCGGGAATGCTTTTTTAATTCTGTTGTGTATTCCGTTGTAGACGCGCATAAAGCTTTGTATTATTCCATCAATACGTCCTTCCTTTGAAATATGGAAGTGCATTAGCCGGAATCTGGTTTTATAATAGCCTACAAGACCTTCGCCGTTTATCAGTCCCTTTAAGGAAGCGGCAGATACAATGAATTACGGGGGCCAGTAATGTTCAAGTCGGGGTTGCTTTCCTCCCAGGTTAATCTAGTCATTTTGCCGGCATGTTGGGTAGAGGGCTTTGTTAGCTGAGCGGAAGCCGCGCATTCGCTAAGCGGGCGACTTGCCGCTACGCCACTTGCGCCCCTGACCTGTTCTGTTTTTTTTTTCAAATTCTGTTGCTCAATGCATATGTCTAAATAAATTATTTCAGTCGACTGATAAAGGAGAGAAGTTTGTTGATCTGCTCAACAAGCAAGGAGTCATCCCTGGAATTAAACTTGATCTCGGTGTCGTCCCATTGGCTGGAACTCTTGGAGAGACAACCACCCAGGGTCTTGACAACCTCGCCCAAAGGGCCGCTGCATTCAAGAAGGTATGCAATATTTATTTTATCGGGAGGCTTACTAGGGGATAAGCATTGTGAAGTCTTAATACTTAGGGAGGATGTGGTTTCGCCAAATGGCGTTGTGTTTTGAACATTGGACCTCACACTCCGTCGCACTTGGGAATGCTGGAAAATGCCAACGTTTTGGCCAGGTCAGTAAAATCTCGAAACATCTGTTATTAGCGTCTCGAGCACCTCTGCTACCCTCATCATAACCTTCCAGATACGCAACGATCTGCCAAGCTAATGGTCTTGTCCCAATTGTCGAGCCTGAAGTCCTGTGTGATGGTGATCACGACATTCACCGCGCTCAAAAGGTTGGTTCTCAGAGAAGCTTTCGTTTTGAACAGAACAAAGGACCTACGAAAAATGTACTTCGAATCCGATAAGGACAGCTTCCCCAATGGAAAAATGTTTTTAGGTCACAGAGCAGGTGTTGGCCTACGTTTACAAGGCGTTGGCTGACCATCACGTGTATCTCGAAGGTACTCTGTTGAAGCCAAACATGGTCACTCCTGGACAGGACTGTCCGCATAAGGTGAGTTGAGCTGGAACCATAGGAAAAATGAATCAAGATGAAAGAAAAATTTATAGGTCAGCCATGAAGAAATCGGTTTGGCCACAGTCACAGCTCTTCGCCGAGGAGTCCCAGCTGCTGTGCCTGGTATCACGTTCCTTTCTGGCGGACAATCGGAGTTGGACGCAACCGCTAACCTCCATGCTATCAACACGGTTGGTTCTTTGGAGCACGCTCAGTGGGCCGCATATGTGTAAAGTGCAAGCATGTGGTGAATATTCAGGCGAAGCCGCTGAAGCCGTGGAAACTTACCTTCTCTTATGGCCGTGCCCTGCAGGCCTCTGTATTGAAGGCATGGCAAGGCAAGGACGAAAACGTTGAGGCAGCTCAGAAGGTCTTCCTGCACAGAGCAAAGGTGTGTTCCTTAGAAACCTCTGAAGCCGTGAGGCTGAATAACGTCCTTTTTTGCTGGACTGGTTTATTTCACGAAGTTTGTAGGCTAATGGAATGGCTGCTATGGGAAAGTATGAAGGAGAAGATGCCGCCGGTGCTGCTGCAGAGTCTCTCTTCATTGCAAAGCATGCCTATTGATCCGATGCCGACGGTTCCCCATCGGCTGCCCATCAGTTTGTGGTAACTACGCGTAGTATCTATGACCCTTTAAATTTCTATTCCATGAGACATCTAGCCGCCTTTAATAGCTAGTCAGTTCCCGATAGCTGTATCTTGTTAAGTTTTATCAGAATGGTTACGTCAGTGATAAATATGCATAAATAAAGATCCTCTAACACTTGTTCATCTGCTAGCGTAATCGCGCAAAGAAATATTGAGTAGTACGCCCCGTGCCATCGAAGTGGGATCAGCCGCGATTCTGGTAAAACTTACAGATTGCAAGCCCGAGCAGCTAAACTTGTGAAAAACGATAGTTCCATGACCTCCGCTGGTGACAGGTGCGACGAAGTGGCTGATGCCCGAGAGCGGTATCTTCGCTTCTTCGCTAATGCGGCAGGGAAGCAACGTTGGTTTCGTTCAATCCTTCGATATAGATAGTGAAGTAGGTAGTCCTGGGGTTGGCCGAATTACAATGGTTTGTATGGGGTGAGGGACGAAACAAATCATTGCTGTTTTCTAGTAGTTTTTTTAGCTATGTCTATTTCTTCTTCCAATCAGGAATGATATATAAG